GAAAATATTATGTGACCAGAAGGATTCTATAGAGTAAAAAAACAAAGCAAAATAAAACAAAAAAGCACACAAAAACCTTTATATTACAGAAAACTTAAAGTATGCTGAACAGACAGGCTCTTGAAATTTCAGGAAACATATAATCTCACAGTTCTTAAAGACTGTTACTGTAGACCTCTGAGTAATTTTCAGTTGGTAACAGGCGTATAGAAACTCTTTGGGATTATTTACAAATAGTTCAGGGAGGAATAAGATATAGTAAAAGTAATATCCTGGAGAAATCTGCACCTTCCACCTGCCAAATCAATTCAGCTCTACTATTGAAGTAAAATCTGATCTGTAGAGGAAAATACAGTATTCTATCCTATATTGTGTAGATACTTAATGGTTATCAGAAAGACTGAAAAAAGTCTTAATGAAGAATTCTGGGTACATCTAACAGCTACTATTTACCAAGTACCTACTGGAGCTTTGTTGTTTCCCTGTATTCATTTAGTCCTAACGATGACTGCAAGACAGGTAAGCATTGCACATCTTTCACGTGAGTCAGCTGAGAGGTTTGGTAGATATAGGTAAAATCTGAATTTAATTCTTGTTCCAAATCTTGTTTTTCTTTTAGTATGGGTATATGAAATTGAGCAATCTCTTATTTTAGTCCTTTTTTGTTTGTTTGTTTGAGATGGAGTTTCACTCTTCTTGCCCAGGCTGGAGTGCAATGGTGTGATCTTGGCTCACTGCAACCTCCGCTGCCTGGGTTCAAGTGATTCTCCTGCCTCAGCCCCGAGTAGCTGGGATTACAGGCATGTGTCACCACGACCAGCTATGATTTTGGTCTTGAAATTTCACTCCTACCAGAATATAGCAATAAATGCCACTCAGAAATACTATAATTAGGCTGGGCGCGGTGGCTCACGTCTGTAATCCTAGCACTTTAGGAGGCCAAGCTGGGTGGATCACCTGAGGTCAAGAATTCAAGACCAGCCTGGCCATCATGGTGAAACCCCATCTTTACAAAAAAATAAAATAAAAATAAAAAAAAAAGAAAAAGTAAAAGAAATACCATAATTATTGGGGCTCATTAGACAAAAAAAATAAAATATACCATAATTATTCAGTATCTGCAGTCTTGCGATGTTACTATAAAGTAACTTATTGCAGTAAATGATGTTTTAGAAAGCAATTTTCTCTCCTCAGTTGTGTCCTTATTCAACCTTACACAAAAGCATAGCTCTGGACTTAATTATGATGTAATTAAAATTATTGAATGAACATTTTGGCTCATATTTTACAACACTGCAGTTCATCCCCATGGCCAATTTAAGGTACAGTTCTTACAACGTATTACTTTCGATATAGGCATTTTATTAATAAGAACTTATTTGGGTTGGTGTTCATATGAGTGGTTTTACTGACTGTATGATTCTATAAATAAAATTTTAATTGAACATTCTTGCAGATTTAGGTAAGTTGGTATTGCTTATCTAGCAACTTTTGTATTTCTGAAACCATTAAAACTAGAGTAACAATAAATTTAAGTTGGAATTTTGACAATATGTAAGTAGCAAGGTCAGATTATATGCTTGAACAGGTGTAACATGGCCCCTTTTTCCCTATTCATTCATTTATTTATTTATTTATTTATTTATTTATTTATTTTGAGACGGAGTCTTGCTCTGTCACCAGGCTGGAGTGCAGTAGCGCAATCTCGACTCACTGAAACCTCCGCCTCCTGGGTTCAAGCAATTCTTCCACCTCAAACTTCCAAGTAGCTGGGACCACAGGTGCATGCCACCACGCCCAGCTAATTTTTTTTGTATTTTTAGTACAGACGGGGTTTCACCATGTTGGCCAGGATGGTCTCAATGTCTTGACCTCGTGATCCGCCCAACTCGGCCTCCCAAAGTGCTGGGATTACAGGCGTGAGCCACCGCGCCAGTCCTCCTCATTTATTTTTAACTGACAGGAAACGTGTATATTTATGGGATACAATGTGATGTTTTCATCTGTGTATACATTGTAGAAAGATTCAATCAAGCTAATATATCCATCACTTAAAAAAAAAAAAAAAAGTTCATTCCCATGACAGGAAATACAAATAGAGGAAAAACATATGAAAAAGAAATCTCACTAGCAGTCTTTTCAAAAAAGAGATTTCTTAAAAAATGAAGTATCATTTTCTAACTATCAAATTAACAAGTTTATTTTTTTTTTTATTTTATTTTTGTTGTTGTTGTTGTTGTTGCCCAGATTGGAGTGCAATGGTACAATCTCAGCTCACCGCCATCTCTACCACCTGGGTTCAAGAAATTCTCCTGCCTCAACCTTCCAGGTAGCTGGGATTACAGGCACCCGCCACCACGCCCAGCTAATTTTGTATTTTAGTAGAGACGGGGTTTCTCCATGTTGGTCAGGCTGGTCTCAAACTCCCGACCTCAGGTGATCCGCCCGCCTCAGCCTCCCACAGTGCTGGGATTACAGGTGTGAGCCACTGAGCCTGGCTTATCTTTGATTTTTAAGCATTAATATTTAATGCTAGAATGATGCAGTGAAATTAGGCACTGTCATTTACTGCTTGTGGGCATATAAATTGGAACACTTTAGAAAGCAATTTAACAAGAAGTATTAAGAGTCTTAGCTGGGTGCAGTGGTTCACACATGTAATCTCGGGCAAGACTCTTTTTAAACAACAAAACAAAGCAAATAACAGAGCCTTAAAAAAATTCCAGGCCAGGCCGGGCACGGTGGCTCAAGCCTGTAATCCCAGCACTTTGGGAGGCCGAGTCAGGTGGATCACGAGGTCAAGAGATCGAGACCATCCTGGTCAACATGGTGAAACCCCATCTCTACGAAAAATACAAAAAATTAGCTGGGCATGGTGGTGCGTGCCTGTAATCCCAGCTACTCAGGAGGCTGAGGCTCAGGGGGCGGAGGTTGTGGTGAGCCGAAATCGTGCCATTGCACTCCAGCCTGGGTAACATGAGTGAAACTCCGTCTCAAAAAAAAAAAAAACAAATTCCAGGCCAGGCACAGTGGCTCATGCCTATAATCCCAGCATATGGGGAGGCCAAGGTTAAGAGGATCGCTTGAGCCCAGGAGTTCGAGACCAGCCTAGGCAACACAGCAAGACCCCATCTCTATGCTTCTAAAAATAAAAAAAGGAAAATAAATTCTAAATGTTTTCAATTAGTAATTTAGTAATTCTACTTTTCACAATCTGTGTTTCAGGAAGAATTTTAAATACAGAAAACATAGACTAACGATATTCCCTGCAGTATTATTTCTAATTAAATAAATGGCTACAATGTAAATATTCAGTAATAGGCAAATAGGTAAAAACTATGGTTTAATTATTGGACACAGTATCACATAGCCATTACAAATTATGTTTATAAAACATATAGAAGAAAAATGCTTATGTAAGCAAAAAAGGAGCAAAATTATATGATTACAACTATGTGTTTACAGAAAAAACAATAGCAAATGATTTGCATACAGAAAAAAATCAGAAAGCCATGCATCAAAAGACTAATAATGATTATCTTTGGGTAGTAAATTATGAATGCATTTTTCTTTATAGTTTTCAATATCTTTCCAAATTTTCTGAGTGCAAATTCTTCTAACTAAAAACATATTTAAATATATAATGATAAAAAATCTTATAGTTAAAAATATATTTAAAGCAGATTTAAGAAACGGTTGCTGCAGATATCACAACCCGCTCTCTATAACAACTCTCAGAAGCAAACTTTACAGATATGTATTTTCTCTCACAGGGGAGATGTACTTACTCTACCACACACTTAATCCCTAGTTTTTTCCATTTAAGCTTTTTTTTTTTTTTTTTTTTTTTAAAGACCAAGTCTCACTCTATCATCCAGGCTAGAGTGCAGTGGCATGATCTCCACTCACACAACCTCCGTCCTGGATTCAAGCAATTCTCCTGCCTGAATCTCCCTAATAGCTGGGATTACAGGCATGCATCACCATGCCCAGCTAATATTTTTGTATTTTTAGTAGAGATGGGGTTTCACCACATTGGTCAGGCTGGTTTTGAACTCCTGACGTCAAATGATCCGCTCACCTTGGCCTCCCAAAGTGCTGGGATTACAGGCGTGAGCCACCACACCCAGCCCCATTTAAGCTTTTAGTATTGTATTTGTCAAAGTGTTTTTGGTTTTATGTATGTTTGGTTTTTTAAAGATAAATAATTTTTCCTGGGTCTCTGAAATAGTTTTCTAATTTCATGAATATGATACTCTAACAATTCAAATGCATTTGTCTTTTTTATATTCTCAAAGTTATCAAAAAGATCCAAAGTAAAATCAATTCTACAAGGTTCTAGGGGTTGCTGTGCATACACAAAGAGGCTAATTAACCTCCAAATTAAATCAAAAGGCACAATTAATGTATTAATATATATATTTATTTTAAAATCAGAAAAGAACTTATATATTTTTTCCATACATTTACTTGTGTATAGTTGGTCTGTTTATTGAAGCATGATAAAAACAAAACAAATTTGGGGTCAGAAAAAGCACAGATTATACCCTGGTACTGCAACCTCCTAGCTGTGCAAACTTAGACAAATCAGACTCCATAAATCTTAATTTTCACCTTTGTAAAACAGAAATAACCTGAAGCAATTACCTTTGTAAAACAGCAATTACCTGAAGGATTGTGAAGACCAAATGAAAAACTGAAAACAAAGCACCATAACAAGAAGAGTGCATTATTAGGCACAATATACACAGTAACCATATACTGTAATTATTTTCATTTCTTTTGAAAGGATGAGGAAATTCAGTTTATAACAAGTTTACTTAACTTTATTCCTAATCCAACACCAACAGACAAAAAAATGAGGTAGCTCTTTAAAACCATTAAAGATCCTTAGCAGTCCTCAGCTAGAGGTTTAGGATGAATGTGAGCAGATTGTACAGCTCCTACCACCTTTCCAGGAATGCAAACAAGTTCAAGAAGGAAGAGCATTATACCCTTACCTGGCAGGCCACATCAACTAATCGCATCTGGATAGCTTGATTCTCTGGTAGCTTAGTGCCAATTGCAAGCAATGTATCCAGCAGTTGAGCTAGGACTTGATGAGACTCTAGAGAGGAAGACAGAAAGTTGTCTTGTAGAATTTCAAAATGCAGTAACTATATAAACTAATTTACTTGGGTAAAAAATGTAGATTGGCTGGGTACAGTGATTCACAACTGTTATCCCGGCACTTTGAAAAGGAGAATCCCTTGAACCCAGGAGTTCAAGACCAGCCTGGACAACATATGGAGGCTCTGTTTCTACAAAAATAAATTTTAAAAAATCAGTCAGTCATGGTGGTACGCACCCATAGTCCCAGCTACTCAGGAGACTGAGGTGGGAGGACTGCTTCAGCCTGAGAGATCAAGGTAGGAGTGAGCCATGATTGCGCCACTGCACTATAGCCTTGGCAAGAGAGCAAGACCCAGACTTTAAAAAACAAAAAAGCCGGGCGCGGTGGCTCACGCCTGTAATCCCAGCACTTTGGGGGGCCGAGGTGGGTGGATCACGAGGTCAAGAGATCGAGACCATCCTGGTCAACATGGTGAAACGCCATCTCTACTAAAAATACAAAAAATTAGCTGGGCATGGTGGCACGTGCCTGTAATCCCAGCTACTCAGGAGGCTGAGGCGGGAGAATTGCCTGAACCCAGGAGGCGGAGGTTGCGGTGAGCCGAGATCGGGCCATTGCACTCCAGCCTGGGTAACAAAAGCGAAACTCCATCTCAAAAAAAATAAATAAATAAGAAAAATAACAAAAAAGTAGACTTTTGTCAATTGGGTTCTACTGTGTGATCCTTCATGCCCTCAACTAAAAGCTAAGTTCCTAAAGGGATCACGTTTAAATGTCTGAGTTCTCCACAGGATAGAGTATAGTTCTTTACAAATAGTGTGCTCCAAAAATGTTTAGTGCTTGACTAATTCAAGAGTTTTTTCTTTCTTTTTTTTTTTTTTAAAGAGACAGGTTTTTACCATGTTGGCTAGACTGGTCTCAAACTCCTGATCTGGTGATCTACCCTGACCTACCCGCCTGGGCCTCCAAAAGTGCTAGGATTACAGGCGTGAGCCACCGCGCCCGGCCAAGAATTTTTTCAGAGTAGGAAACAGAAAAGAAAAAAAAGTTTTCCATTGCCTACAACATAAAATCTAAATATCCTAGAAGGCATATAATGCGTATATGCTAGGCCTTCCATAATGTCTACCCTTGCCTATCTTTCTAGCTTCATCTCTTTCAGGTCTCCTTTAACTCCTTTAACACTCTTTTTTCCAACTTCTTTTAATTCCATGTCCCCCTATCTTTGCTTAGGCTAACTTCTCTATGTAGAATACCTTCCCCCACACTTGACTCCAATCTTGACCCCTCTACACTGAATATCTAGTAATCCTTAAAATCTCACCTCTTGGCCAGGTGCGCTGGCTCAGACCTGTAATCCCAGCACTTTGGAAGGCCAAGCAAGGCAAGCGGATCACAAGGTTAGGAGATCGAGACCCTCCTGGCCAACACGGTGAAACTCTGTCTCTACTAAAAATACAAAAATTAGCTGGGTGTGGTGGCACGTGCCTGTAGTCCCAGCTACTCGGGAGGCTGAGGCAGGAGAATCACTTGAACCCCAGAGGCAGAGGTTGCAGTGAGCCAAGATCGGGACACTACGACAGAGCAAGACTCCATCTCAAAAGAAAAAAAAAGTGTCTTTATGAAATGAGTACTGTATGTTCATGTATGTTCAATTACAGGTTTTAGTGTAAGCTAAAATAATCCTTTTAGAAAAGCAATAGGGTAATATATAGCAAGGGTCATTAACATGTTTGGACTTCCTGACTCCAGCCTGGAGTCAGGCTGCTCAACATATCAAAGCCCTGCCTCAGAACAAAAAAACAAACAAGCAAAAAAAAAAAAAAATGCTTCTTTGAAAAGGAATACAACTGCCATTGTATTTAAGAGGGTGAAAACCACCTCAAGAAACCGGAAGCACTGGAACGATCTTATATCACATGTAAACTACCTCAAATATATGGTACTTGGCAAATAAATGACAGCTATTAAAGAGATAAAACAGTATTTCAACTCTTATGTAAATATATATACATGTTTCATTAAATTATCCTCAAATTCCTTTTCAATAACAATCAACACAACAAAATTTTGTCCTAAATTCTACACAAAAAGAACTAAACATTTCTGCTCTGACTATAGAGCTTTTAAATTGCAACTTACTTTCATTCTGCAGGATGTTAATGGCATCATCCATAATGCAGTCTGGTGAAAATCCTGTTGTCTTTGATAATAAACCCAACAAGGATGCAATTTTCAGTCTCACAGATGGATCATTCTCCTGGAAAAAAAGATGCAATTGTCACTTTGATGCTCTACGCTTAGCTAACCAACAAACAGGAACATGGAAAACTAACATCCCAAAAGACATTCAATGATCCAAGTATTATTCTATGGCATCATTTCTGAAAAACTAATTTTCCATACTTCTAGAACGACAGCTTTCTATTTATTTATTTATTCATTCATTCATTCATTCATTCAGAGACAGAGTTCTACTCTGGTGCCCAGGCTGGATTGTGCACTCTTGGCTGACTACAACCTCCACTGGAGATACAGCTTTCTCAATTGATACATTACATACAAATACTGCAAAGTAAATGAGAACTTTTTTATGCCATTCTGATGTCATTAACTTCTAATAAAAAATGCGCTGTTGGCATTAAAAGTACCTGACCTCCAATGAATAGTCATGTTAGACACAAGTCACAGCAACTTGCACCAACAACACTGGGCATACAACATTGCTGCCAGCACCACTGCTCTTGGAGTCCCTGGAAAGTGAGCTACCACTGCTATTACCAGAAAGAATCTTTCATTCTACCTGCCCCACGCCCCCGCTTTTTTTTTTTTTGTCTTACTCTGTTTCCCAGGCCAGAGTGCAGCGGCGCCATCATGGCTCTCTACAGCCTTGACCTTCTGGGCTCAAGTGAACCTCCAACCTGAGCCTCCCAAATAGCTGGGACTACAGGTGCACACTAACACATCTGGCTACTTTTGTTTAATTTTTAGTAGAGATGAACTTTTGCTCTGTTGCCCAGGCTGGTCTCAAATTCCTGCGCTCAAGCAATTCTCCTGCCTTGGCTTCCCAAAGTGTTGGGATTACAGGTGTGAGCCACTGTCTGCTTTTCTGAATCACCAGATCCTGATTAGAAGTCTGGAGAAGGCAACTATGATTGTCTGAGTTTAAGTCTTGTGCCTGGGCCCCAGCTGCAGGTGAGACTGTCAAAAAAAATAGTCTGGCTCTGTTAGCTTAGAGAGTGGGAGGTGGTCTCTAATGGGCACCAAAATCCCTGTGGTGAGAAATTTCCTCCAAAGACAAAAAGGAATGCTCTCTTGTTCACCATCTAAATAATATAGCATAATAACTGACACTAAAAAGATCAATAAATATATGAATATATCTTCAATAAATATATGTGAAATGAGAGGAAAAAAAGTACCTTGGCAGTGCTGAGAGTAAATCATCTTTCTGTACAGTAAGACAGTAAGACAAAATTACTTAAGTGTATGCACAAAGGATGAGGTGCTTTTCAAATAAGACCAACTCCTTGCCTCCTACATTCATTTTCTAAGGAGGTCACCAGGCACAATAAGGAGACCTAAAGCGGGGAACGGGCAATAGATACGGCATCAGAAGATCTAAAATCCTGGCATGCTATGCCATGTATTATGTACATAACTTTAGAAAAGTCACTTTCTTGGGAGCTTACCTTTAGGGTGTGAGGTGACGCAGAAAGAGAAAGGGCTTTGAAATTAGCTAGATCTAGGTGTGAATCTTGTATTCACTACCCAATAGCTCTAAGCCTTATCTGTGAAATGGTGGTAATAACCTCAGAGGGCTGCTGAGAGGAAAATCACTAGCACAAAAACAGGAATATAGTAGGCAGTCAAATATCAGTTCCCTAATCTTTATTGTTTTCTTCCTTCTATTAACTTTGGGTTAATTTGCTCTTTTTCTAGTTTTGTTTTGTTTTTTTTAAATAATAGAGACAGGGTCTCAGTATGTTGCCAGATTGCTTTCAAACTCCTGGGCTCCTGCCTAGGCCTCCCAAAGTGCTAGGTTTACACGTGTGAGCTACCGTGTGCAGTTGTCTTCTAGTTCCTTAAGTTGTAAAGTTAATTCTTGATCTGAAATTAGTATCAGAACTGTGGGTCAAGATAGCCAATTAGTATCAGAACTGTGGGTCAAGATGGCCAGGGGGAGACCTATGTTAATTCTAGCTAAATAATTATAAGCTTGATTGGCTCACAGTACACTGTTTATACACCAAACTAAACTATATTATCGTTGCAGTTAATTAGAAATCAAGCAGCAACAGGAGGCCTATGGTAAAGACTATCCTAGAGCACAGTAACACCAGGGAACACCTCGGGGTGGTTGCAGAGCAGGGAATATTGCTCTGGTCCCACGAATACCTTCTCAACATAGACTGCATGAGGGCCTTGTAAAAAGGGCTTAGGCAAAGATCTCTGAGAAAGGAGGTGATCTCTGCTCACAATATCTGTGACAGTCTTTGCAGATGGGAGCTAGCAAGGAGGAGAATAAGCCTTGCAGGGCAGAGATCACAAAACACCTCAGGCTCTGCCTAGGTTCTCAGAATATGCAGTGATTTTAATTGCTCTATGTCCTCAATGCTCTGGAGATAAAAGCCCCTTGATGCATTGGGAGTGGTAAGACCCGGGTGGCTCCTAATCCGATATACTTCTGATGCTACCCCACCCTGATAACAATTGGTGATAAACTCAGAGTACTTGTTTAGCATGTCTTAGAAGGATCTCAAGTGCTCTCGACATAGCTATCTTACCTACTCCTTTACCCTCCCTTTCCACACCCATAAGATCAATGAGATTGTGCACATGATAAAAGTGTTTGGAGCCCAAAGCTTGGGCCAACGTGGTTGCCACACTTGCATTGGTCCCCTGGACCCATGCTGTAACTTCTACTCTTGTGTCTCTGTCTTTATTTCATTTTCTCAATCCCCCATCACCACCAGGACTAAGGGCACCCAGGTACGGGGATGGGCTGGTTCCCAGGAAGAACATGTTAAGAATTCCAAACTAAACAACAAAAGAAACAACCCAAATCAAAACTGGGTAAAGAATTTGAATAGATATTTCTCCAAAGAAGATATACAAATGGCCAAATAAACACATGAAAAGACACTCAACATCACTAATAATTAGGGAAATGCCAATCAAAACTACAATGAGACACCATCTCAAACTTATTAAGCTGGCTACTATTAAAAACTAGAAAACAAGTGTTGGCCAGGATGTGGAGAAATTAGAACCTTTGTGCACTGCTCATGGGGATGAAAACAGCAAAGCCACTCTGGAAAACGGTATGGTGGAAGTTCCTTCCGGGCCTTTTGGCTAACATCAGGTGTAGGAAAACAGTATGGTGGTTCCTCAAAAAACTAATAATAGAATTTGATATGATCCAGCAATTCCACTTTTGGGTATATACTCAAAAAACTGAAAGCAGGGTCTTGACGAAATATATGAACAAATATGTTCATAACAGCATTATTAACAATTGCTAAAATATGGAAGCAACACAAGTATCCATTGGCAAATGAATAGATTATAAACAAAATATGGTATATACACACAATGGAATATTTAGCCTTAAAAAAGAAAGAAGTTCTGACATAGCCTATGACATGATTAAACCTAGAGGATATTATGCTAAGTGAAAAAGCCAGGCACAAAAAGACAACTACATAATTCCACTTATATTGAAGAGGGAGACCCAGGCATCTCAGATCAACTTCCCCTTTTCATTCCTAAGACTGTAAACTTCCCCTTTTGATTCCTAAGACTGTAAACTTCCCTTTTTCATTCCAAAGACTGTAAACTGAGACCCTTTTCATATGTAATTCCTAAGACTGAAACCCTTTTCATATGTAATTCCTAAGACCGTAAACTGAAACCCTTTCACATGTAATTCCTAAGACTTTAAACTGAGACCCTTTTCATATGTTAAGCTATAAACCTAAGATTCTTCCACATGTAACATCTAAAGTATAAGCCTATGTAAAGAAGGAACCTTCCTTTGTTAGGTGAGCTTGGCTATTAGGCAAATATGCCACCTGGCTCCCGGCCGAATAAACTCCTTCCTCCGATATTCGGTGTCCGAGAGATCCGTTTCCCGCGGCAGCTCCTGCTACATTTTGGTGCGTTGGCCGGGAAGCGAGTCTCGGATAGCAGATGGCGGGGAAAAGTCTCTTAGGTGGTTTGCCTAGCCCTGTGGAGCATCCCTGTGGGGGGACTCCTGCTCCCTGGGGTGACGCATCCTGAGAGCGCTCCTGGGCAGGTATTTGCCCGGTGGAAAAGCCTTGCCAGAGCGGAGCAGGGAGGCCCTGCAGTGCGGATCCACCCAGTGGCTGAACACCAAGGAGGAACGAGCATTTGGGGAAGTCTGGCTCACTGAATTTGGTAAGATTGTACCTGGGAAAGTAGACCACCCTGTTTTGGGTGGAAGCGTGGCCTGATCACCACAGGTGCCAGATTGGCATGTTGGAAGCTCTCTGTTGAACTGGAAGGAGAGCATTTGGATGTGTGTCTGTGTGTGGATGTGTGTCTGTGTCACCGAGCAATTTGGTAAGATTGTACCCGGGAAAGTAGCCCACCTCGTTTTGGGTGGAAGCGTGGCCTGATCACCCACGAGTGCCAGATCGGCACGTTGGAAGGTAGCTCTCTGTCGAACTGGAAGGAGAGCATTCGGACGTGTGTCTGTGTGTGGATATGTGTCTGTGTCGTCGTACGTGGGAAAGTTGCCCACTCCGTTTTGGGTGGAAGTGTGGCCTGATCACCCACAGGTGCCAGATCAGCACATTGGAAGGTAGCTCTCTGTAACCTTGGAAGCTTTTGCTTATGGTTTTGAATTGGAAGGAGAGCAATCGGATGTGTGTCTGTATGTGGATGTGTGTCTGTGTGTAGATGTGTCCAGCCGGACTCATCAGTCGTAAAAGGTATTGGGCCCATTAGGAAGGGCCCCATGCATCAAGTAATTTGTAAGAATTCGAGACAGCCACATAAGGCTGTGTGAAGAAGCCTCTGGGCATTGTAAAAGGATTGAAGTGAATGTAAATCGGAGAGTGCTCTGTGCTGTGTCTTGCTAGTAGGGAACTGCCGTGAGTGAACTAACACTCTCCTAAGTGTGGGAATTGTTTCTTTGAATTGTTAATATGGATCACTCCTGGCCGGGCGCGGTGGCTCACGCCTGTAATCCCAGCTCTTTGGGAGGCTGAGGCGGGCAGATCATGAGGTCAAGAG